TAGCCTCAAACTTCTGGGTTAAGGTGATCCTTCTGCCTCAGCCTTCCAAGTAGCTGGAACCACAGGCATGTGCCACCACACTCGGCTGATTTTTTCATTTATTGTAGAGACGAGGTCTCACCGTGTTGCTCAGGCTGGTCTCGAACCCCTGGGCTCAGGCAATCCTCTCACCTCCACCTCCCAAAGTGCTGGAATTACAGGCTTAAGCCACCACACCTGTCCCAAACTAACCCTTAAAATTAAAAACATTTTATAAAATACACCTTTGTACAGTGTATCCTTTGTGAAAAGGATGCCTTCAATGCCAACCTTATAACTCGCAAGGGAGGTTTTATACCAAATAAACATCAGGTGCCATGAGGTAGCAGCAGGCTTTTCCACAGGGTGTACGTAGCATTGGGGATAATTTCTGGGCAGTGAAAAGACACCACTTTCGCAGAGATTGAATGGGAGTTGCGGGCGTGACCTCATTGCTCAAGCTGCTCAAAGCAGACATTTCCAGAAAGGCTGGATGCCTTTACCTGCCTTTTGCCCTCAGTGCTCCTAGCTAGCCAAGGAGGCAGGATCACCCTCAGAGCTGCAAACCTCAGAAAGTTTTCCAGCCAACTGCCTTGTTGGAAGAGATTCCTCACGTGTGGGCTCCAGAATTCTCAAGGCTAAAGGCAGAAAAAAGCACAGACTCTAGAAGGTTAAAAAAAAAAATCTTGAAGTCGGTGGGGGATGACCACCTGTCCAACCCAAGTGACAGAACTCAGAGGGGACGTTGAAAACAAATATTAATAGTCGGTGTGACAGCTGGTGAAACGGACCACACAGCCACCATGGCAAAGCCAAAGCAAAACAAAAGGTTTGGGTAATTAAATCAAAGTATTTAGAGTATGAAAAGAAGCAGAGGTTAGAAAAACAAAAGCAGAAACCACAAAGTCCTTCCAAATCTGTAAGAGGAAACCCGAAAGAGACTGTACAAATACTTGTCTGTATTTCTGAAATGCTTCCAGGTAGTTCCTGATAGAATGTTCAGTGAGACGTTTATTCCAAAATCAAAGTGAAAGATGTCAGCCGATAGCACGGTGCTTGTCTCAAAGAGCCCTGAAACAGACACGGAAGAGGATGACAGAATCAGCGTAATGTAACCATGACAGCAATGCAGACACTTTCAAATTGGATTAAAAACACAGTTCAATGACCTGCTGTTTATGAGAGAGACACAGTCAATAAGTATTAGAGGGGCATTTGCCACGTTTCAGGCACATCATTTCCTAGAACAAACACTGGTTGGGAGCACAGTGACGAGGACAGAAAAGTTCCCTGTTGTCGCCGAACTTATAATCTGGCGGAAGCTGAAACGGGAAAGTTAAAAATAAGGCATCAGGTACAGACCACACAGACGGGAGCCCCAGGGAAGAAACAGTGGCAACATTAACTCTACAAAGAGAAGAAATACGTTTTAATGAGATAGAGTGGCACTAAACATTCATAAATGCCATAATGAACAGGTAAACCATATGCACTAACCAACAGAGCAACAAAACATGAAAAGGAAACATGTAGACATACAAGGGGGAAATGGCCAGATTTTTCTTTTCTTTTCTTTTCTTTTTTGAGTGGAAGTCTCACTCTGTGGCCCAGGCTGGAGTGCAGTGGCACGCTCACGGCCACCACAGCCTTGCTCTGCTGGGCACAGGAGACCCTTCTACCTCAGTCTTCCACATAGCTGGAACCACAGGCGCATGCCACCATGCTGGCTAATTTTTTGATTTATTGTAGAGATGAGGTCTTGTCATGCTGCCCAGGCTGGTCTCGAACTCCTGAGCTCAGGCAATCCTCTCGCCCTCTGCCTCCCAAAGTGTTGGGATTACAGGCGTAAGCCAGGCTGAGTAGGAAATTTTAAACTCTTCCTTATCCTCCTGTCAGATCAAATAGTCAACAATAACTGAAGACATGGCCTACATAACTAGGAAGTTAGAATGAATAGATACAATACCAATTTACAAAGAACATACCTTAAAACACCCTGACAGAGAAGAACATACCAACTTTTCTAGTGCCATTGAAATTTTCATAACAATTGCATACAAACCGGTCACAAAAGGCTCAGTAAATTAAGAAAACTTAGTAAATGTCTGCAGGCTACATTTTCTGATCATAATGCAACGAAACCAAAAATTAAACAAATCTAACCCTGAGGGTGCCCATTCAGCAGCTTCTGACTTCAAAGCTGGCCCCTTTAACTGATTTTTCCTGTGGTCCACTCCATCTTTTTCTTCCCCTTCCTCGCTGGTCCAGGTGTTTTCACAATGCCCACCACCTAGAGTTTCCTTCCTGAATGCCCTGGCCATTCTTGAACCTGGTCTAGGAATTCCAGCCTTGGCAACTCTGGGCTGGAGCAGAGGGCATGGTGAGGGACCTGAGAGCCAGGGCTTTCTAGGGGAGGGCATGTGATCAACGCAGCACTGCCTGCTTGCGGACGCTGCGCCACCTGGAGATAGGGTCCTTGACTCACACCCTCGGAACGGGCATCACGTTCTATGCCAGCATTCTATGTCAGCAAGACGTTCTTCTTCCCGGAATCTCAGATAATCCTAAAATCACAGAATGCCAGGTGGAAAGCGCCTGAGAACAACCGAGCCGAGCTCCCCTGACTTAGTTACATTACTACTAGACTCTCCTGAGGACCTAAGGTGCCAGGTATGGCCAAGTGCTAACACTAGGTCCTCTGCCTGTGCCAGCACTGGCTCAGCCTGGACAGAGGGACGGAGGCCAGCTTCTGGGTGGACATCTCTCCCCTCTGTTCCTCCAGCCCACTCTCCGCCTTTCTTCTGTGTTCTCTTTCAGACTCTTGGCCAAGGAGGCTGCATGCTTGGCTCTCGGGCTCCCGGCGGCAGCATTCTCTCTCCCCTGCGGTTCTCAGCCCCGTGCAGCCACCTGTCCCTCTTGTCCTTCAGGCCTTAGGTGGTGACAGCTGCTCAGCCTTGCTGATCTTAGTTAATGGCACGATCCCTTCTGGTTTCCTTTCATCCCGACCACACCTTTGCAAGTCTGTTTCTCAAACTCTCCTCCAGTCATTCAGTTTCCAACTGGACCCTGACTCACACAAGTAGGTGATGACACCTCCATTTTATGGATGAGTAAACGGAGGGGGAGAGAGGTGAAGAGGGTTGCCCAAGCTCACACATCAGACAGGAGCGGGCCTGGGATTCAAACCCAGGCTGACTCACGCCAGAGTCTCATTGTTCCCACCATTCCAGCACTTCTGTTGAAACTGGGGAGAGTGGAGGTGGTGGGATATGGTAGCCTCTGTTTCCTTCCAAGAGGAGCATGCCAGAGAGACAAGAAGACCCTCCAGAACTTCCCATCAGGCTGGATGGGGCTGGGCAACCACCCCTTGGTGGTGGGCAGCAAATATTTGCCCAACAGGGGCTGCTGATCCCGTGGACAAACGACATACCACTTCCTGTGGCCCATAAGCAACTTCCCTCTAATGAGGAAGCCAGGGCACAGAGGACACAGCCTGCCCAAAGCCGCCTCTCTCCTAGGGGGCGGGTCTAATGGCGGAGTGAAGCCCATCTGAAGCCCAGAAAGCCCTTACAATGCATCCACCTGGTGGATAGACACTGTCCACACTGCACATTTACTCACATACCTTGGGAACTCTCTGAGCCCAGCACCCCCCGATGATGCCAATGATGATAGCAACGTTCTCTACGCCAAGCCGTGCTCCAGTCCCTCCTATGCAAAACTGTCAGGGCACCCTCTCCATGTCACTATGGAGGAAGTGCAGTCGGGGTGCCATCCTGCAGAGCCATAAGCCGAGGCTCAGAAAGTGCAAGCCACCTGCCCGAGGTCCGGCAGTGGGCAAGCGCGGGAGCCCATTCTGCAGATGAGGGTCAGCGGCGTTGAGCTCACCCAAAACCACACCGAGGCCAAAGGCCAGGGTTCCTCCAGTTATCCTGCTCCCGGGACTCACTCCCAGTGTCCTGGAGGTCAGGTCCCAGCCCTCTGAGTCCCCATCAATGTCAGACGAGGCCACGGTAGCTCAGAGAGGATACGTGACATGTCTGGAGCCACACAGCCACAGATGGGGAGTCTGAGCTCCCCTCTCAGCACGAAAGTGTTGACCACACTCGGCTCCTCAAGAGAATCACCTGGGAGCTTGTTAAAAACTCAGCTCGGGGGCGGTGCAGAATTGGCACTAGTGGGAATCTGCCAGGGGAGGGGGAAGTACACCTCATCAACATTATGCAGGGTACCTGCATAATGAACATTTGTACACCTAACCCTGAATTGTACCCCACATCTTTAAAAAAATTCTAAAAAAAACCCAGCTTCGGGAATGCTTGAGGCCAGGAGTTCGAGACCAGCCTGGGCAATATTGCAAGACTCTGTCTCTACAAAAAAAATTTTTTTTTTTTAATTAGCTGGGTATGGTGGTACCTGTAGTACCAGCTACTTGGAAGGCTGAGGTGGGAGGATCCCTTGAGCCCCACAGTCGAGGCTTCAGCTATGATTACGCCACTGCACTCCAGGCTGGGCAACAGAGTGAGACCCTGTCTCAAAACAACAATCAAAACAGCGAAACCACAACAAACAGCTTCCCAGCGGCTCCGACCCAGTGACTCTGGGTAGGGAGGGCACTGAGAATCCGGATTTTAAACAGCCTTTGTTCCTCTGCCTCCCCCCCAACCCCTCCAGGTGACTCATAGGGTCTGCAAGTTGGGGAAACTGCCCAGACCCCGAGGCCTTCCTCGCCAGCTGTCCCCAAGGGCCCCGGGTCCCAGGCGAGCCTGCGGGGCGGGGCCAGGTGCGCAGAGCACCTCCCAGTGCGCACCGCCCCGGGGGCGGGGCCCCACCTGCCGCGGGCAGGTAGACGGCCACCTGGTAACCCGGGTCCGGCCAGGAGGCTTGGCGCTTGCAGCCGGCCCGGGCCTAGCCGGGGACCAGGAACGCAGGCAGGGCGGCCTCCGGCCCGGGGAGGCCGGCGGGGCCTCCGGCCGCTCACCATGGGCAAAGCGCGCTTCTCCAAGCTCCTGCAGATCCTCCGCTTCTCGGGCGCGGGCCGCCGGTACCAGGCGCTGGGCAGGGACGAGGTGGAAGCCTTGGTGAGTGTGACCCGCGTGGGGCCCGCGACCCAACCCCCCAGCCCTCCGCCCCAGCTGCCCCCACACGAGGCCGATCTCGGCGCTGGGCTCCGCGTCGCCCTCCTCACACTAGTTCTGGAAAGACGCCTTCTTAGCCACGGAATTCCCCTGTCTGCCCCGGGCAGGGAGCCTACCGATTAACCCTCACGTGACAACCCATTGTGCGGATGAGAAACTGAGGCTGAGAGAGGGAGGGCAGGTGCGCTCCTGAAGGGTCAGACAGCTAGTAAGTGACCCAGCTAGGAACCGAACCCAGGTTTCTCTGACTCCAGAGGATTTAAATTCCTGGGTCCCCAGCCCCAGGCAGTTTTACTGATTTTAAAAACCTACTTGAACTGGAAAAGAGAAAAACATAGACCCGTGTCAAAAACAAACAAAAACAAGTGTGAAAGGTCTCTCCAGTGTAGAAACCAAGGCCTCACCCTCATTTCCTGTGTAAGCAGGGCACCTTCTGAAAGCCACTCCAGGGTGTGTTGACTTTGCAACCTCCAGGGGACCTTCTAGGTTAAACCCGCAGGGTTCCAGGGCCAGGGACCTTACAAGGGACCAGCTGACCAAGCTGTCAAAGAAAGCCCGTCCTGGTTTTCGGATTTGTGGAAGCCAGGGCAAAGCCAGGGTGGACAGTCACCCGGCAGCTTTCTCCTTGGCTCTGAACACAGGACTCCTGGCGCAAGTGGGGGAGGGAGCCCTGGATGCCTGCGGAAGCATCTCGCGGGGTGCCAGAGTCAGTCCTTTTCTCTTACACTTAATCAGTTATTCAAAAATAAAATTTCCAAAATACTCCCTGGGGCTCACTTGCAAGAAATAGGACCCTGCAGTGACCTTTGGACCAGTGAAGGGAAACCTCAAAGGTAAATTTACTTTTTAATGAAAAAAAATCCATTGAAAAATACTTAAAATTTTAATTTTTTCTCCCTAAGAATGCCAGTAGGTCCAAACATGTTGGTTGTGTGATTCTGAGAAATTTGCGCATTAAAAAAAAAAAAGAAGTTTTTTTACACATCGGTGTCGACGTGAGAATTCTGGGGGTAGGGTGGTAGACTGCAGGACCGTGATGACACTAGCAGTTCTGAACAATCCCTGTCGTCCTGAAGCGACATGTGTTAACATTCGTGGGGCCACAGTGCGGTTAATGTGCGGGAATCCATTTCCTCTATGCGGCGCAGAATATTCCGTCAGAGGTATTTGAGGTCAGTGTGCCAACACAGGTTGCCTTCCCTATTTATTTCTTCTTTCCATCTTTTTTTTTTTTTTTTTTTGAGTTGGAGTCTCACTCTGTCCCCCAGACTGGAGTGCAGTGGCCGCTCCCAGCCACCGCAGCCTCGACCTGCTGGGCTCCGGCGATCCTTCCATCTTTTGATGTTGGCATCAGGCTGGATGTTTTTTAAACACTCCTGATGTGTCGTTGGGTAACAGGTTGTGTAGGAGGCCCAGGTGAGCAGGTATCCAGGTATGCAAGTATCCAGACAATGCAGACCCGGAGTGATGTGACCCAAAGCAAGGTGCTGAGGGAGTCTGATCGCTGCACCGGGTGGGCTTCACGACCCCAGGACTTATCAGAAGGGCCCCGGGGGGTCTGGCAGGCCTCCCCCAGGGGTGGAAGCGGTGTTCCCAGCAGCACCCCACCACCGGGGTGCATGATGACTGGCCATGGTCCAGGGCTGTTGGAACGGCAGCAGGAAAGGCCAAGGAACGGGTGTGGTGGCTCCAGAGACGGCCCATGCTAACCTGGAAATTACAAGGGGCAACGGGCCAGGTGAGCGGGGCGGAGGCCGGCCAGGCCAGCTCACAACCTGACACCTCCTTTCTCCCACGCTTGCGTCTGATTCGAGCGCCTTTTCTCCCAGGAAGGTTTGGAAAGGAAGCAGTGTTGGTTAAGGCTGTCCCTTGCATGGTACTCGGCACCCTTTTATGAGCGCTTACTGTATGCCTGTGGCAGCCTCCTAGCTCCCAGTCACTCTGCCCAGTTACCCAGGTATGGTAGTCATTGTCCCTGATGTGCTGTGTGTGTCCTCTTGAGCTGCTTCCCTCCAAGGTAAGTTGTATTAGAATCCTGGGATAGAGGAGGACTTGGGGCTCACAGGCGGGACTGCTTTCCTTCCTTCAATGGGTATTTACTGACGGCCTTTTTTTTTGAGTCATCTGTCACCCACCCAGGTTAGAGTGTCGTAGCAGGATCACCATCACGGCTCACCACAGCCTCAACCTCCAGGGCTCAGGCAGTCCTCCCACCTCAGCCTCCCAAGGAGCTGGGACGAGAGGTGTGCGCCCCCACACTCAGCTAGTTTTTAAATTTTTTGTAGAGACCAGTTCTCGCTGTGTTACTCCGACTGGTCTCGAACTCTTGGGCTCAAGCAACCTTCCTGCCTCAGCCTTCCAAAGAGCTGGGATGACGGGCGTGAGCCACGGCACTCACCCCTGATGGCCAGTTTTTCCAGGTGCTGAGGATACAGGTGTGAACGAAACACAGTACACAGGGAAGGCTGACAGTTGGCAGAGAAACCCAGAGATGCTTCCAGACCCCGTGGTCTCAGGTGCTGAAGGATCAAGGAGCAGAGTGATCAGAGAAGATGAGTGGTTGAGAGAGAGAAACCAGGGAGTGCCCCGAGTTAGAAGCTCTGGAGGCAGAATTTAGGCCAGGTCCTCATGGCTTTGAGGGGGGCTCATTGCTGCAGCATTTCCGGTGTCATGAGAAGCAAGGTGTTTGAGAGATCTTATTAATTTAGCTACTGGAGGAAGCAGCGCTCTGCTGACTTGAACATTAAGGAGAGCATGGAACCAGAAATTCCTGCTCCCAGATGACTCAGCTCCAGGGAAGTCATCTCGGACCCTCCGGGCTCCCGTCTCTTTTACGAGGCAGGCGCGCCCCAGCCCACTGCCTTCCTGGCTGGAAAGCGGACTCATTCTCCTGGGCTCTCCAGAGAAAGGACCGGGTCCCAGCAGACACGCGTTGTGGCTGCTTGTTCATTCAGCCCAGATTCGCAGAGCACCTACTGTGCGTCAGGTGGGTGCTGCTCACCACGGATGGGTTCTAGAAAGGCGCACGTGCCCCCTGCCCTGAGGCGTCCCATCCTGGCAGGCAGAGACAGAGACAAGCAACAGGTCACAGTGGGCTGTTTCAGGCCAGGTGTGCAGGAGCTGGGAGAAGGATGTATGTTTCAGATGATATAGGAGCCACAAAAGTTGGGGAAGGGGTGTGCTGGATGAAAGGCAGGTGTTGACGGAAGGTTCTAGAAAAAAGGGTGTGGGGTGCAGCGGTTTGTGGATGAAGGACACGGCTGCAGGAGTGAGCCACACAGTCCTGTCAGGAAGAATGTGGGTCCTAGAGCAACAGGGATCATCGAACGGTTGTAAGACGGGACATGACAGTCATTCCTCTACTCACACATGTACCAACCATTGAAAATGCGGTCAACAAACAGACAAATCAGACTGTGTTTTTAAGAGATCAGGAAGAGAGTGTATGAGAGGGAACTCACAAATCATTCGTGGTTTCCAGAATTTAGCAATAGATGGGCATCTCCTTAAAGAAATGCATTGCCAACCTCCAGTGTTGTGTGAAATGATTCGTACGAAAGTGTGGCTTCCAGAAGAACAAGCATAAAACTTGCAATAAATACAGCTCTGTGCCTATAGCCCAACCATAAAGTTCAATTAAATTTACAAAAAGCTATAAAGTACAAATGCAGCTACTTTATTTGGGATATGACTGCTGATATTGAGTGGTTATAGTAGTTATCTGTTGCTGTAAAACAAACTACTGTAAGACGTGGCTTATACTGGTGAGTATTCATGATCTCACATTTCTGTGGATCAGCAGTCTGGAGTGGCTGCGCTGGGTGTTCCTGGTTTCTCACTCGAGGCCGCTGTCAGGCCGGTGACCAGAGCTGTGGTCTCATCTGAAGGCTCGCCTGGTGGAGAGGCAGGGAGTTTCCACTTCCAAGTTCGCTCCAGTGGTTACTTGCAGACCGCGGTCCCTTGCCATGTGGGTCTCTCCACAGGACTGCATCGGGGGTAGCAACTGGGTATAGAGTCATCATGATGTAAGGTCTTTTTGTAACCTGGTCTCAGAAATGAGATCTCCTCACATCTGCCGTATTCTATTCATTTGCAACGAGTCTGAGTCCAGTTCACACTCAAAGGGCGGGGCTTCCACAAGGGTGTGAATACTGGCAGGTGGCAAGACAGGGGCTGTTTCAGAGGTTGCCTGCCATAATCACGGAAAGAAATCTTTCCTTACGTGAGATCGTTCACATAAGTCAGCTGAGAACCGCTGTTGACATGTCATCTGATCAACAGGGATCTGACTTTTGTTGGTGTTTTCGTGAGCCTTGAGCTCTTTTGGACTTTTGTTTGTTTGTTTGTTTTGAGTTGGAGTGTCACTCTGTCGCCCAGGCTGGAGTGCCTTGGCACCCTCACAGCCACCCCAGCGTCGACCTGCAGGGCTTCAGTAATCCTTCAGCCTCAGCCTTCCAATAGCTGGAACCACAGGCGTGTGCTACCACACCCGGCTAATTTTTTTTATTTATTGTAGAGACGAGGCCTCCCCAAGTTGCCCAGGCTGGTCTCAAACCCGCAGCCTCAGGCGATCCACTCGCTTCGGCCTCCCAAAGTACTGGAATGACAGGCTGAGCCACCAAGCCTGACCTCTTTTGGACTTTTGATTTTGATAATGTTTATGCTGAGGATGTCTGTTCACAGGGATGTATACAAAATGACACTTAAATACAGGGGACGCCACAAAAAAATGCATACACTTCTGTTTTTGTTTTGCTTTTTTTGTTTTTTTTAGTTAGCGTCTCACTCTGCTGCCCAGACTGGAATGCAGTGGCACACTCACGGCCACCACAGCCTCAACCTCCTGGGCTCAGGCGATCCTTCCACTTCAGCCTTCCAAGTAGCTGGAAGGACAGGCACATGCCACCATGCCTGGTTAATTTTTTAATTTATCGTAGAGACAA